CCCATTATTTTTTTTTTTTTTTTTTTTTTTTTTTTTTTTTTTTTTTTTTTTTTTTTTTTTTTTTTTTTTTTAATTTTTTGTTTTTTTTTTTTTATTTTCTCCAAATTTGTGTTGTAAAAATGCTTGATATTGAGTGTGTCTGTAGTCTTAGATGTGCAGAAGTCAAATATACCATCCCTAGCCAGGAAATATTGAGCAATATTATTTTACAGTCGCTTAAACATTTGAAAATATGCCACTTGGAGGTATAAATAAGGACTTTTATTGTTGAATTTCTCCAAAGTTGTACAGTAAAAATGTTTTATATTAAGTATACTTGTAGTCTTAGATGTGCAGAAGTCAAATAAACCACCCTTAGCCAGGAAATATTGAGCAATATTATTTTACAGTAGCTGAAATATGGTCAAATATGCCACTTTGAGGTACAAATATCGACTTTTGTCTTTAAATTTCTCCAAACTGCTGCAGTAAAAATGCTTGATATTGAGTGTGTGTGTAGTCTTAGATGTGCAGAAGTCAAATATACCATCCCTAGCCAGGAAATATTGAGCAATATTATTTTACAGTCGCTTAAACATATTAAAATATGCCACTTAGAGGTATAAATAAGGACTTTTATTGTTGAATTTCTCCAAAGTGGTACAGTAAAAATGCTTGATATTAAACTTGTAGTCTTATATGTGTAGAAGTCAGATATACCATCCATAGCCAGGAAATATTGAGCAATATGTTTTTACAGTAGCTCAAATATGGTCAAATATGCCACGTGGAGGTATAAATATGGGACATTTGTTCTTAAAGTTCTCCAAATTGGTACAGTACAAGTGCTTGATATTAAGTATACTTGTAGTCTTAGATGTGTAGAAGTCAAATATATCATCCATAGCCAGGAAATATTGAGCAATATATTTTTACAGTAGCTCAAATATATGACAATATGCCACTTGGAGGTACAAATATGGACTTTTGTTCTTAGATTTCTCCAAATTGGTACAGTAAAAATGCTTTATGTTGAGTGTGACTGTAGTTTTAGATGTGTAGAAGTCAAATATACCATCCCTAGCCAGGAAATATTGAACAATATTATTTTACAGTAGCTTAAATATATGAAAATATGCCACTTGGAGGTAAAAATAAGGACTTTTATTGTTGGATTTCTCCAAAGTGGTACAGTAAAAATACTTGATATTAAACATACTTGTAGTCTTATATGTGTAGAAGTCAGATATACCATCCATAGCCAGGAAATATTGAGCAATATGTTTTTACAGTAGCTCAAATATGGTCAAATATGCCAATTGGAGGTATAAATATGGGACTTTTGTTCTTGAATTTCTCCACATTGCTGCAATAAAAGTGCTTGATATTAAGTATACTTGTAGTCTTAGATGTGTAGAAGTCAAATATACCATCCATAGCCAGGAAATATTGAGCAATATTATTTTACAGTAGCTCAAATATGGTCAAATATGCCACTTGGAGGTACAAATATGGACTTCTGTCTGTAAATTTCTCCAAATTGGTGCAGTAAAAATGCTTGCTATTAAGTATACTTGTAGTCTTAGATGTGCAGAAGTCAAATATACCATTTTACGCCAGGAAATATTAAGCAATATTATTTTACAGTAGCTTAAATATAAGAAAATATGCCACTTGGATGTACAAACATGGACTTATTTTCTTAAATTTCTCCAAATTGGTACAGTAAAAATGCTTGATATTGAGAGTGTGTGCAGTCTTAGATGTGCAGAAGTCAAATATACCATCCATAGCCAGGAAATATTGAGCAATATTATTTTACAGTAGCTCAAATATATGAAAATATTTAACTTGGAGGTACAAATATGGACTTTTGTCTTGAAATTTCTCCGAATTGCTGCAGTAAAAATGCATGATATTGAGTGTGTGTGTAGTCTTACATGTGTAGAAGTCAGATAAACCATCCTTAGCCAGGAAATATTGAGCAATATTATTTTATAGTAGCTCAAATATGGTCAAATTTTCCACTTTGACGTACAAATATGGACTTTTATTCTTGAAATTTCTCCGAATTGCTGCAGTAAAAATGCTTGATATTAAGTATACTTGTAGTCTTAGATTTGCAGAAGTCAAACATCCCATCCTTAGCCAGGAAATATTGAGCAATATTATTTTACAGTAGCTTAAATATAAGAAAATATGCCACTTGGAGGTAGAAATGTGGACTTTTGTTCTTAAATTTCTCCAAATTGCTGCAGTACAAATGCTTGATATCAAGTATACTTGTAGTCTTAGATGTGTAGAAGTCAAATATATCATCCATAGTTAGGAAATATTGAGCAATATATTTTTACAGTACCTCAAATATGGTCAAATATGCAATCTCTGGAGGCATAAATACGGGACTTTTATTTTTAAATTTCTCCACACTGGCGCAGTAAAGATACTCGATATTAGGTGTTTTTTATTCATCATGGGCGCATGAAAAACTTTAATGCATCATATTTTATTTTAAATGTAGGTTCGACTCATAGCTTAATGTTCATAATACCTTTATTTTGAAAAAATATTTGAAATAATATTTTGAAAAGTGAATACGCGGTTTTTCCGCATTTACCGTAATACCGAGAATACTTGCACAGTCTAAATTTACGTGCGGCTGATTTGACCACGGAGATTGAAGTTACGGGTGGCTTGACTGCAGTCGGTGGAAGCGGAATTGATAAAAACAACACGAAAAAAAAACACAAAAACTCCCTAAAACAACCTCGTAAGAGAGGGCAGGACTTCCCAGAGTTACAGTGAAAAAATAAGAACGAACAAAAAGAGAATAAAAGTTAAGAAGTTAAAAAAGCGGATTCAAAGGCTGGAGAAACGTAACAGGCAGCAAGCAGCTTTCGCGCATGCGCACTCTAATTCTGTGGCCTTCATATAACCCCATGAATATTGAGCCAAATATGCCCTCAAAAGGATCCCTGGATGTGAAGGTGGCTCCGCACACAATTCATAGCAGTCTCTGGAAAATGTGTCTGGCAGGCTGACTCGGGACACACAGGTTAGCCTGCTTATAACAGGTCGGAAACTGGAGTGCATGTTGGTTGCTAGCGAGTTGGAAGCAAGTTGGCCGATATGCACACTGAGAATGGTTATACTGGTGGTTAGCATGCTGGAGACTAGCTGACTGGATGCCAGCAAGTTGTGGTGCAGAGTGAGCATGCTGGTGACTAACATGCTAGAGGCTAGTTGACTGGAGTCTAAAAATCCAGGCAGAAATCAGAACACCGTGGAAAACACGTCACAGAATATGAAGGTCCAGTATACAAGTGGTCAGTCCACAAAAGACAACAAAGGGGAAAAGCAAAGGCAAGGTCCAAATATCAAACTGGAGGAGAAAAGACAAGGACAGGAAGTAAAGCAACACAGATCACAAGAGGAGAAAAACTACAAAATAAAACAGAAAAAACACATGACTACAAAATAAAACACTAATGTTATGATAGACATAAAAGAATAATCTGCACCTGTAACCGGCATTCAACTTAAACATACAAGGTGTGCCATATTAGTGGCACTGATCCAGGTCTTCACTGGTCAGTCAGAACACACAGTTTTAGTGCTGGACTGAAGGATAATGTTCTGTGTTCTCTTCATTAACTTTGATTTTTTTGAAAAAGAACAACAGTAGTTCCTGTAATAGTGATAATGTTCACATGTCAGTGACATGGCAATGACATTCACTTCTTGTTGTGGCTGTACCAGAATGGTTGTGGCTTCGCAGGTATGTCCAAGTGTCCTTGGGCAAGATACTGAGCCCCAAATTGCTACCAATGCTGTGCCACGGATGTGCGAATGTGTGTGAATGAGCATTAGTTTCTGATGAGCATTTGGCACCTTGCATGGCAGCCTGAATGCTGACCTGTAGTCAGTGCTTTGAATGGTAGAAATACTTTATAAATGCAGTACATAAAAACTGATGACGGGTCACATCTATATACAAATCTATGAGGTGTCAAATGTTTAAGCCAACAACCACACAGTACCTTCACATGTACCTGCTATGCATACCTGAGCATATACGTGTACACATCATACCCACAACAACGTATTTTGAATAGGTGGTGCGGTGGTCTTGACTAACTAACACATGACCCAAGATGTAAATCACAGCAACCTGACATAATGTCAGCCAAAAAGTATGATAACAAGAAAATAATTAAGACTCGTACTTTAATGATCTTAATGAGCTGCACAGGCATAGCGTTATTATTATTTTAGCATTTAAATCTCATTTAAATGACATGTCAGCCAAAAAGTTGCAAAAAGAAATAAAGACCTGTACAGTAATGATCGTCAGCAGACAGCACAGCCATATTAATATTACATCCCATACATCACCATGACTTAATGTTAATCTTAGACCTGAATCTTTTTACACATCATACACATAAATCTGTCTGCCGTGTCACATGTATAAACCAATAAGAAAATGGGCCTGCTGAAATATATATTTAAGGTGACAAGTGAAACAATTTAGTTCAGATAGTTGGGTCCAATATGTTTATTACAGCTGGATGGATAAACAAAAGAGATGATCAAATGACCATAAATTTGGAATCCTATGCAGTTAATTCAAGTAAACTGTATTTTTACAAAAATTCAATGTTTTATATGTAAGCAAAGAAACATCAAAATATTCCTGTGTTTTTTTCTCTTTTTTAAAATGTAACCTTAATATCCAATTATAATAACAGCTAACTCAAGGCTGTTGTTTAGGCTGTTTTGTCCTCTGTCTTTGCCTCGTCAGCCCACACTAAATAGCAGTTATTACTGCTACAAAAATAAAGCTGTATATGTTTTTTTGTTTTTTAACACAGATGTTGTTTGCTACAGCAAGCAACAGTGAGATGAATGGAATGTAACAATAGGACAGATAAAGGAGGGAGGAATGTTATCATGGCTACCAAAGTGTAACCCTTGATATGTTCGTGTAATCCACTACAACATGCTCTCTCTGTCTCCAGACTCTGAAGGATCCCACTCTTGCAGCCAGGAAGGATTTCCAGCGTGAGGCAGAGTTGCTGACCAACCTCCAGCACGAGCACATAGTTAAGTTCTATGGAGTGTGTGTGGACGGAGACCCTCTCATCATGGTCTTTGAGTACATGAAGCATGGAGATCTCAATAAGTTTCTCAGGTGAGTTGAACAGACGAACAGCAGATGCCGGAAGAGGTGTGGTGTGAGTGCGTCTGCTGTGCGACTATCACTACTTTGGACTTATGGGATACCATACCTTACCAGTGGCTTTACACCACTGTTTGTTTAAAGGTCTTTTTTTTTTTTTTTTTTTGAATATATACACACAATAGTCCTTTATCTGAGCATTTCATTAATTTCTGTGAAGAAAAGGAAGGAAAGGAAATGTTTTTTTTAAAGTTTGTTTTCCTATTTAAGATCTAAACTTAAATCTTGCAGGAAAAGGACACAGTGAAGACGTGAACACAAGCAATAGTTACATATATTCACAGATCTGAGTTTAAACAACCAAATAAAAAAAAGCTCTTAACTTTGTGTTATTGCTAAAACTGATATATAAAGACACAAAACATAACATAAAAGAGACAGACAATTCTATAAAAAAGGTCTTAAAAATATCAGGAAAATCTTTGATGTAGAGGCATGACAGGAAATAAATTGTTCCAGGCGCCCATTACTAAACAAAAAGATGCTAAAGCTACTGTATCTCAATTCAGAGAGAGTTGAGGCAGAGCAGCAAACAAAAAATATTTTCTCAATAAAATATTATTCTATAGACATAATTTCTAATCACAGCACAACAGTATCTCACTGGCTACCAGTGTGTGTGTGCTCTCTGATATCAATCAACCAATAAACGAAAAGTTGACTGCAGACACTCCTTGAATGACAGCTCCCTCATGTGCATAATGAAATGATTGCTGATTGTGGGTCAAAGAGTTCTATTTTAATTTCATCTGTCCACAGGATCTGGGTTGTGTATACTTATACTTATACATTATACTTGCATAATGTTGGATTTCATGATGTGGTCTACTGACTCTTCCATGAAGGGCTTGTTTGTGCATGCAGTTTTGGACAGAATCATGAGTCTTAATGCAGGTTTTGATTTGCCTTTCTGACCAGCATATGGTCTTGGTCTTCCAGATCTCAGCTTGACCTCTGCAGTCCCCCTAAACTGTTATCTCTTAATTACATTTAACACTGGAAACTGCAAGCTGACAATACTTTGCTATATTTTTTGTAGCCTTCTCCTGCATTGTGAGCATCAGTGGCCATCAATAACTCAGGGTCTTACACAGCGGTTCAGAGAAACCCATGGTTGGTGAGTGTTCACACAAGTGTAGGTGCAACAAGTTGTTTGGATCAATAATCTGTCTATCAAATATAATCTTTAGTTTTAATGTTAAACATTAGCTTTAAAATTAATTAAAGTCCTCGGGGCACCGCCCTCGGAACAAAGGGAAACGATAGCAGGTCTATTGATCTAAGTCTCATCTACCATAAATTATGACTCTTTAATGAACAATTAAATCATCAAAATAAATGGGTATTAGTTAAAATTCTCAGACCAAAACTCTAACTGTAATCTGATTACAGTAAGGTTGTGACTTTAAGAAGGTAAGGCTGAAGGAAAGCTTTAGAGTTATTGGCGTAGCAGAGGCTGGTTTCCACACAACATTCAGGTAAAAATAACCAAAAGCACTTCTGGAATTATATAACAGAATTTATTATATTGTAGCAATTCATCTCATCTTCATCCGCTTATCCGGGATTGGGTCGCAGGGGTAGCAAGTCCAGCAGAGGACCCCAAACTTCCCTTTCCCTGGCCACATCGGCCAACTCTGACTGGGGGATCCTGAGGCGTTCCCAGGCCAATGTGGAGATATAATCTCTCCACCTGTTCCTCGGTCTACCCCATGGCCTCCTCACAATTGGACGTGCCAGGAACACCTCCCTCGGGAGACGCCCTGGAGGCATCCTCACCAGATGCCCGAACCATCTCAGCTAGATCCTTTCTATGCAAAGGAGAAGTGGCTCTGCGAGTCCCTCGCGGATAGCTGAGCTTCTCACCCTATCCCTAAGGGAGACGCCGGCCACCCTCCTGAGGAAACCCATTTCGTCCGCTTGTACCCACAATCTTGTTCTTTCAGTCATGACCCATCACTCATGACCATAGGTGAGGGTAGGAACAAAGATCGGCCGGTAGATCGAGAGCTTTGCCTTTCGGCTCTCTTTTCGTGACAACAGAGCGATAAAGGGACCGCAATACCGCCCCTGCTGCCCCGATTCTCCGGCCAATCTCCTGCTCCATTCTACCTTCGCTCAAAACAAAACCCTGTGGTACTTGAACTCCTTCACTTGGGGTAAGGACTCACTCCCTATCCGGAGTAGACAATCAACCAGTTTCCTGCTGAGAACCATGGCCTCTGATTTAGAGGTGCTGGTCCTCATCCCAGCTGCTTGACACTCAGCTGCGAACCGATCCACTGAGTGCTGAAGGTCACAGGTCGATGATGGTGATGATTTGGTGCTGTCCCCGAGTTTCACGCAATGTTGAAAAAGCGTGTCAACCAAGACAGCCCTTCAACACCCAGAGCCTTCAGCATTTCTGGGCAAATCTTATCAATCCCTGCCACTGTGGACTTTGACTACCTCAGTGACCTCCCGTAGGGAAATTGATGTAGATCCCCTATCATCCTCCAGCCCTGCCTCTATCACAGAGGGTGGGTTTGTTGGACTAGTCGGGTTCAGAAGTTCCCCAAAGTGTTCCTTCCACCGCCCAATTACCTCCTCAGTTGAGGTCAGCAGTGTCCCATCCCCGCTGTACGTAGTGGTTTCCCAGAAGCGCCTTGGTGCCGTCTGAAAGTCCTTCTCTATGACTTCTCCGAACTCCTCCCACACCGGCTGTTTTGCTTCTCTCACAGCTGCGGCTGCAGTCCTTTGGGCCTGTCGGTACACTGCAACTGCCTCGGGATTCCCCCGGGATAACATATCCAAGAAGGCCTCCTTCAGTCAGACGGCTTCCCTGACCACCGGTGTCCACCACAGTGTTCAAGGGTTACCGCCCCTTGAGGCACCCAAGACCTTAAGACCACAGCTCACAGCCGCAGCTTCAGCAACAGAAGCTTTGAACACCAACCACTCTGGTTCGATGTCCCCAGACTCCACAGGGATGCCGGAGAAGCTCCTCCGGAGGTGGGAGTTGGAGGTCTCTCGGGCAGGGGCCTCCTCCAGACGTTCCCAGTTCACCCGTACTACACGTTTGGGTTTACCAGGTCTGTTCAGTGGCTTCCCCCGCCACTTAACCCAACTCACCACCAGATGGTGATCGATTCACAGCTCCGTCGCTCTCTTTACCCGAGTGTCCAATACATGCAGTCTCAGATCTGATGATACGATCACAAAATCAATCACAAAATCGATCATAGACCTTTGGCCTAGGGTGCTCTGGTACCACGTACACTTATGAGCATCCCTATGTACGAACGTGGTGTTCATTATGTACAATCCATGACTAGCACAGAAGTCCAGTAACAAAACAATGCTTGGGTTCAAATCGGGGAGGCCTTCCTCCCAATCACGCCTATCCAAGTGTCTCCATCATTGCCCACATGTGCGTTGAAGTCTCCCAGGAGAACAATGGAGTCTCCTACAGTCTCCAAAAAGGCTCAATACTCAATCAGAGTTTTCACCCCCACAGAGGCGTAGGGAGGCGACCCTCTCGTCCACCAGGGGGCACTCCAACGTAGCGGCGCTCAGCCAGGGGCTTGTTAGTACCCATATCCACGAGTAAGGATCCAGAGTCTCGAAGGTGCATAGACGTAAGCCCCACCAGTTCTAATTGATAGCGCTCCACCTCCCGCACAAGTTCTGGCTCCTTCCCCCCCAGGGAAGTGACATTCCCCGTCCCCAAAGCCAGATTTTGCTGCCCGGGTCTGGTCTGTCTAGGCCCCCTGCCTTTACTGCCACCCGTTTGGCATTGCACCCGACGCCTCTAGCAATTCAACTCAATTCAATTTTGTTTGTATAGAGCCAATTCATAACAGAAGTTATCTCAGGACACTTTTCAAATAAAGCAGGTCTAGACCGAACTCCTTATAACATTATTTACAGGGACCCAACAATTCCCACCATGAGCAAGCACTTGGCGACGGTGGCAAGGAAAAACCTCCTTTTAAGAGGCAGAAACCTAGGACAGACCCTCAGCTCTAGGTGGGTGGTCGTCTGCCTCGACGCTAAACATACAATCAATTCTACCAAAATATAACCAAAAGCATTAACAAAAGTCCTAATGAGTAGTGAACACTATATACAAGTGTGTGTGCATGTGTGTGTAGGTGTGAATGTAACAAAGGGGAAAGATTGCGGTCTCAGACCCTGCAGGGGTCCTGAAGCACACCACAGGTAACAAAGGAGAGAGAGAAAGTGGTGAGTGGCGGTCTCAGGACCGATACCACATGAGGGAAAGCTAGCAGAACAGGCAGGAGAGTTTAACAACACAGGCCTGAACCACTCTGAACCATAGTGATAGTCACTCTACGTGTGTGTAGGTTCCTAAGTCAGTGGAGGAAAAGAGAGCGAGAGAGAGAGAAATCACTCCTAATAGCAAGACTGGTGATCAGTCCTGTAAAACTCAGTTTTATACAGTCAAAACTCAGATGCAGGCTGGTCCTTGATCTTAATGCGCGTCAGTGAAAAGAAACGTCCTGTTACTCCTTAGGCACGGTGGCTGAGGAGAATTTACAGGCGATCGTCGACGTGGTCCATTCTTCAGTAGAGAGATATATTATGTTGGAGCAAAACAAAGTTAAACTTTTCTACCGTGGCCAAATGGCAGATCAGAGAAATTGTAATTGCTTTGTCCAATAAGGAGGGAAAAAACTCCTTAAATTGCGCTGAGTGCTTATCTCCAAACAATAAACCAAAACACAAAGTGAGACCAAGATGCGTCTCTCAAAAGTGATGTCACTGGGTCCGTAGGTGGATTTCACATCAAGGTGTGGAAATGCTAAGGACCCTGGGAAGTTGAGTTTAACTGGGCTTTCCTTTGTCAAAGAGAAGTTTGCAGTACCAGTTGCGATTTTGGGCAGGCTGAGGCCCTACAAAAGGTTTGAAGAATCACAGTATGTAAATTTGTATTTAAATATTATTATATT